ATAGTTAAACGATACAGTGATGTAAAACAATGCGTTTTCATGAACTTATCTACCACCGATTTTAAAATAAGTACCCCATTTGCAAACTGCAACGTTTTCGTATAAGATAAAGTTCTTATGTTGATGAAGCAATCCATTTTTTTCATGAAAATAGAAGAAAATAAAAATTTGTTTGGTAAATCACATATGAGCCCCAATGTCATATGTGATTTATCAAGCAAATTTTTATTTTCTTCTATTTTCATGAAAAAAAAAATGGATTGCTTAATCAACATTTGAACTGTATCTTATAGGAAAACGTCGCAGTTTGCAAATGGCGTACTTATTTTTAATATCGGTGGTAGGTAAACTTATGAAAAACGCATTTATAGGAATAAATCCAATAAGTCCAAGTACCCATGAAGCCCACTTATCACCCTTTTTTGCAATATAAAGCTGATATAAGGCTGATAAAAAGTATGGAAGCCCTTTATTAACCTTATATAGCACAAAGGGCGATTATCGGGCTTGGTGGTTACTTGCCCGAGCAAAGTAAAATAACTATCTGATATCACATTGAAAACAAGTTTTGTTATTCCAGATATAATTTCTTAAGAATTTTCAAAGATATAATTATTTTAGTGAATCAAGAATACTCAAAAATTGAGCACATTTGGAGAGGCTTGCTCGAATTGCCCATTACAGCTAAAATGTTATTATTCGGAATTTTGAAGCTATGAGATATTAAAACGATATATGTTTTCTTTGTAAGATGCAGGAAGAGAAGTTAAGCTAAATTTTCTAGAGTGCCACAATTAGCGATTAGCTCACTCATCAAGTTGCTCATTACAGCTAAAATAGCCATTTTTAACCCTCTGAAAGCCAAATAGACAGACGGTTTGATATGCCAAACACACACTTTACCTCCACTTCTTGCATCTTACACATAAACATTATTATTTTTATATCTCATAGATTCATAATTTCGAAAAGGAACATTTTAGCTGTAATGTTCTTTTGCAACACTGCTTTCAATAACTATTAGAGTCCCTAGTTACCAAGGGGTCAATTTATTTGACCTTTACTGACCGGTTATGTTTGTGTCATAACTAGAACTTCAGAATGAGAACCGAAACTAAAAAAAAAAAGGTTTTCAAGTTCCTCGTGCAAAAAGTGGACTGGTTTCAGCAAGAATTACTCACTTTAATAAAATGTACCAAGTGTTTGGTGAATTTTTTTCTGAAATAATAACAGAAGAAGCCATAAGCTATGTAGCAATTTAAATGATGTAGAATCTTATGCTTTGTTTTAATAAATAATAAAATAAATTCTTCACTTGTCACTCCAAATTTAATAAAAAATCTTTTGAGATCTACCGTTTTCCCCAGTAACGTGGGTAGATCACCTTTTCGTGGTATGTTACGGGATGTAAGATCTACCACCGATTTCTAGTCCTGACTACTTCAAACTTGGGGAACAGGATTTTTCAATAATTAAAGAAACACATCTTAGTCCTTGTTACTTTGATGCAGGGCTGGCAATTGTCATTTTCAATGAAAGATCTTACGCGATATTTACAGAGATACTTCTGTCACTATCATCGGATGCGAAAACGATGATAGAGATTTACTTCAAAATCTCAGCGATTTTTTTGTCATGACAGAACGTGACAGTGTTGTTAACATCGCTATTATTAGTTAATTTACTGATATTATTGTTGCTTGTACCGCGGAAATTTTAAAAATATATTCACTCTACCGAATACATACTGTTGCTTGCCTTAATTCATCTAAACCAGATAGAAATGCTGATGTCACAGCCGTAAGACAATTATTCTCATGAATGCTAGATCATTGAAAAATGACAAGAAATCTCGTGATAGGTAATTTTGTCTCGTGATAGTGAGAGGACCTGTTTTCTCATTGTCACATGACGGCCGTGATGTTTACCAGCTCTGCTTTGATGCCTTGTTGTTAGTGACAAGACATGACTTTGTCCACCGAGGATGAATTTGAAACAAAGAAAAAAAATGAGTTAGTCTTCATCTACGTGATTCCTAATTTTCTGTTCGTTGTTCTCTAGATTGAGGTGGTTAAGATAAGGGTTTTGATGCATGGTCATTATCGGTGTCATTGCTTATTTTTGTTGCTTAGGAATCCAATTTTGACTGACTCCTCTTAGGAGGGTGTTCCAAAACTCCGAAGGGTATAATGAGCGGAATCTTTCAATTAGATTCAGATCCTTGCGCTTAATGCAAGAATGACAACTGTAAAAATCGAATACTTCATCATTTCTCAAAAGTAATGGAGTAATACGACATGCATCAAATTACTGGTCGCAGTGGTGTTAGGTCCCGAACAGAGGAAAAAAGAAGATCTACTCAGTGGCGCCGGTGGTGTAGTGGTAAGCGTGATTACCTCTCACCCCAACAGGCCTGCGTTCAATCCCAGTCGGCACCGCCGGGTTGTTCTGAGGCATAACATCTCTGATCACGCCTTCCTTAGGAAGGGAACTAAAGCCGTTGGTCCCCGGTTCATGAGTTGATGGGTCGATAGGTAGGGTAGGGTTCAGGTGTGGGAGCAGCCTCCCTGGCGTCGTTAGCGTTGGTACTCAGTACGGAAAACAAGACCGATGGAAAACAAATCAAGGAAAAAAAACATGAAATGTCTTCAGAATATCAGCGAAAATCAGTTGTATTCACACAATTCAAATTTAGCGCCCCACTTGTATCATAGATATGCTTTAAACATTTATATTTTCTAGTATGCTTTCTTCTCTGCTGGCAGCGATTGTATGGTGCTCATTTCCCCAAAAGTATAGATTCTAAGAATTATAAAAAAAAAAAAATAATAGGGTAAATGTAAACCCTCGTAACTACAACATAAACTGACAGTTGAATGTTATGGCTTATTTATCTCATATTTATCCACAACTACAACAAGTGTTTGCAATCATTACTGCGGCATGTTTTCCCTCATTTAAACACCGCATTCAATCCTTATGCTTTGCTCTGAACGTATCAATAAAATATTCCCATTAAGGAAACAACTGCCGCCACTTTATGACACAACTTAAGAACCATGTTTCAGCTCAAAATACCGGAAGATCGTTTCCCTTGTAAGGTTGTTATGTTAATTTCTTATCATTGAGCACAATATATTTCCAACATTGCCATTACGGTTCCTTCCTTGTGTCAAATAAACATACTTTTGATCAGCCAAGCGAAACCCGAGTCGAATTCCTTTCGTTTGAAACAGAAAATAAAATGACAACACAAATGGAGAGGGGCAGCATCCTATCCTTCAATTGCCGTAATAGCGGTGATGGGAAAATTGCTGATCGTCTTTTACTGTCTTTTAGTTGGCACCCCATCCCCAAGCACTGCCGCCCGCGTGTCGTAAAGGTGACGATGATGGTTACGGTAATGACAAATTCTGAGATGAGGTTGAAAAGTTGAACCATTTCGTCGAAAGGAAACGAGTTGTGTTTCGCGAGCGTGTACACGGTGTGACAAGTTTTAAATTAATTTTTCATTATTTAGTCTTCGCCACTGTTTGAAGAATGGGAAAAGTTTCCCACGTAAAACAATTTCGACCGTAAAGTCTGGAAGGCGCCAATGCCTCGGGTAAATAGAGACCGTAAATAAATTTTATTGTGACACAGCTTATCACTTGGGAAAGTTCAACAAGAGAGCAGAATAGAATATTTTTTTCCATTACTCGAGCATCGTGTTCCGGAGTATGGCCTGAATCAATTTGACATGGCTTTGATCAGAGGATTTGAGTCAACAATCTCAGAAACTTATGTACCATAAACTTACCGCTTGCATAACTTTGTCCCAAGCACGACTTGGGCAGTTTTGGGTGGAACCGAATTAATTAACCAAAAACGGAAGAAAACAACCATGGCAATGCAAAGCAAAATGGATAGAGCCGACAGTTTGGTGTAACTTTTCTTGTTAGAAGTTAGCCGGCGTGGCATGTCGGAGTAGATTTTTGTTAAATATTTAATTTTGCTGTATCGGTAATTGTCCCTGAGGACAGGAAACATAATACCTGAAGAGCAGCGAAAATGGCCGTGTTCAAATTAACTAAATTTGCCAGCCTGCAAATCCCGGCGGCGTTAGAATAAGTTTATAGCAAAAAACAAAAATCATGTCAGAAATATTTGATCAGTGATGATGAAAATCGTGAATTTATTTTTGAACGAAATTTCAAATGCAACCAACCTTTAAAAAACAACAAAACTAAATACTTACACACTTAGATTTTTTCTCCGAGATGAGCACCACCGAGCAGCTCGGCATTTTATTGTGCTGGATCTCAGTGAAAACTTGTCGAGATTCAGCTAACAAACGGAAATTTTGCCGAGATCTCAGCTAACAAACATATTTTTTGCTGAATTTCCAGCAAAATAAAATGCCGAGCTGCTCGGTGGTGCCCATCTCTGCAAAAAATCTAAGTGTGTAGATAGGGGAAATGGCTGTGATGTTGGCCTATGGATCTAAGATTGGGCCCATCGTTAAAAATCTTTTATTTTTCAATTTTATCTAGATGAACGCGTCATTGGGACGGTACTAATGGATATTTTTGGTCACTTTTGAAAATTTAGTAGATTACTCAATTTATGTATGAGTCCAAATTAGGGGCATTTAGGCCGACATTACATCAACTTCCTCTACCTAGTCCAAATAAACTTAAAGTTTTCTTTTTACTTCCAGTCCTTATGTTGTGCATTTGAGTATTTGCATTTCCTATGATATATCGCACATAATATTTACTAAATGCATAGCCTGAATCGGTCAAAGGTTACAAGGAAAAGTTTTAAGTGCGCTTGAAACTGCGACGGACCACTAATCACGGTGACCAATATCGTTATCGTCTATTGGATAACGAAATGAGATGGGTCAACATCCAAAGCTTTGATTTTTTCGTCTGCTGCTTTGGTTGAATCTCCTAATGACCTATAAAACCATTGACCCTCGAATTTATCAGCAAAATGGTGTGTCTTTCGGTACCTACCTCCACTTCGTCCATACTGAGCTACCTCGATCGATATGCTCGTGCCCCGGGGGCATCCTAATGTGACCAGTTCACTATCACAACCGGCTCGTTGATATGTTCGTAGGGTGCCCGACAGCAGCGCTGAAATGAAATCCAGAATAAAGGTCCTTTTAGCACATCCGTTTATCCCGACACACTCGATGACAATGAAATATTAATTCTTCTGCCATGTGGCATGGAGGTAAACTATTTTGGGTAGAATATAAAAGCCATTTCGATTTGAAGGCGCGAAGCGGAACTGACCGCAAGGGAAAAAAACTAGACTGAGATTTTCGTAATAAATCTCCATTTCACGTTATCACATAATTTATGATTATCACATGATGTAGTGAAACGCCTATGGTGTTGCAATATTTATTGCCTTCCGTTTATCATATTCTGCTAGCCATCGCTCCTGCAATTAGACGTACAAATTAGAGAAATAAAGATTTATGCTAGGCAACGACGACGACAATGACAACGATGGCGACGATGACAACGACCTGGATGACGACGAGCTTCCTCGCCATCCCAAAGTCGGCGACATTATCATCTTCCACTCGGTAGCAGTTCGTAGCACATAATTTGCGCCTGGATGAAGTGGGAATCTGAGGAAAGCGTGGACGTGACCAGCGAACTGGAAAAGTGTGACTGACTTGTAGCAGCCGTTGCTGGCACAGCATCCTAACCGTCCGCGCACCAGGGGTTGCAAATTATGGCTAATTGATATCTGTTGGCCAGACGTGGGTCATCGTCACTCGACTAACGAACGAACGAACGAACGAAAGAGTAATAATTCTAGCGATGAGTTTTTAATGCAAACTGATAAATTCTACGAATTTGCATGAAAGAATTTTCTTAACTTTTGGCGGTGTGTTTGATTCGAACTTATATTGTGGACAAATGGATCAAAGTAATGAAATGGAGAGTTGCTAACGTTGTTAAATTTTTGGAAGAGATTCTACAATAATTTGAACATGTGGTTTATGAGATATGGCTAGGTGAGTAACTAGGAAAAGTTGAGTCGATAAATCACGTTATACATTTTAGGGGAAATGGATGTAATGTCGGCCTAAATGCCCTTAATTTGGGCCCATATTTAAATTCAGCAATCGACAAAATTTTCAATAGCGACCAAAAATATCCATTAGTACAATCCCAATGGCGCGTTTATTTAGATAAAATTGAAAAAAATGGCAGATTTTTAGCGATGGGCCCAATCTTAGACCCATAGGCCAACATTAGAGCCATTTCCTCTATATTATGTTTTAATCACTAGTGCATATGGGTCATTTCAGCTCAAGTGTATACAAATGTTTGGTCAATGTCACCAATTTCAACCAAACTTATTGATTTTTTTTTTCGTGATATGTTTTCCGTCGATCTTGTTTTCCGTGCTGAGCACCAATGCTACCGACGCCAGGGAGGCAGCTGCCACACCTGGACCCTACCTACCGACCCATCAACTCATGAACCGGGGACCAACGGCCCTACTTCCCGAAGGAAAGCGTGATCAGAGATGTTATGCCTCAGAACATCTTCTTTCCTTTATTTAACGTCGGTCTCTGTTTCGCAATCTAGTGCCAATCACCGACGGACATCAATTGCCATCCATTGACGGCAATCGAATGTGCAGGAAGGCAGCTTCCACACCTGCGTAGGATATCGCACCCATTCAACACACATGGGCCGGGACCAACGGCTTTACTTCCCTTCCGAAGGAAGACGTGACCAGAGATTTTTATGTCTCAGAAAAATCCCACCGACCTCGGCCGGGATTGAACCCAGACCCATTGGGGTGTTAGAAAGCAGTCATGCTTACCACTACACCACCGGCGCCGGCTGCTTGCCTCAGAACATGTCGGTGGCGATTACTGGGATTGAACCCAGGCCTGCTGGGCCTAGAGGTTGCGCTGCTCAGTCGCATTTTCAACGGTACGTTTTAATGATTTCTCAAAACGACATTACATACATTTCGAGCTTATTCGAATCACATTGTCCGTATGAGTCAAAAAGAAATCAAAAGGCTTATTTAAAAAAAAAATCACGATTTTTGGAGTTAAATGTGTTGATGGACCCTAGCATGCTGAAATGGCGAATTGTGGGTAACGCGTTCTTCGGGGGATAGCAGAAGGATGAGATGTAATTTGATGCTATCTTCTCCACACTCTCATTCTACCGATTCCTCATGCTGGTGGCATAGGAAGAGTTTCTGTAGCTCAAGCTAGCGAAGATCGCTTCGCAGGTAAGGTTGGACACGAGATCGAGAGACGTGATTCACGTGAAAACGTGGCCAGAATTCTTGAAGGGCCAGTGTGGAGCGCCTTCTGCTGTTTTGACATCGCGATGATTTCGGAATTTGTGCGTTGTGCAACCGACCGCCGATCAGTGTTGGGAAAATATCAAAAGATCAAATCTCACCAATGAGCATAATGTCATTTGATTATCGAAAACAAAAATCAACAAGCAAACAACGGTGGATGATATTACAAGCTGTGATACGGTAGCTCTTATATCTTTCAGCGAACCCCACACGGTAAGAAATATTGTCAATACTTACAAGTATTGACAATAATATTGATGATGTGAATACAGAAATATTGTCAATACTGATGTATTGACGTCAATATAAAATGTATTGACAATACGATTATTGTCAATACAAAATGTCGTGTACGGTCCACTTAACAAAAGTTACCAGCTACAATTCTCATTAAACTGTGGTGAGTTTGAGCTTCAAGATTTTCACTGAACAACCGAACCCAAACCGAAACTTCCATCATTGCTGGCAGCAGTACTTCGTGTCTGTCGTTTGTGAATAGTCCTACAATATCAAAAGAGCTTGTAAAATCAACATCATGCTTGATATTTTATTACACTATCACTTGGGAGCCATTAAGAATGACAAAAAAGACATTTGAGTGAGGATGATGCCATCACTGCCGCCGACACGAATTATACCATTTACAAGCAGCGGTAGAAGGGAGCGGAGCCTGGAATTACGGGCTACTTGATCAATCATGGAGAACTTATGGATTTTCTTCTAAAAAGTCTGCTGATAAACTAGGTAAACTAAGGCCGAGCAGCCCTTAGTATTCTTCTTCTTTAAAAATATCATTCAATCATCATCATTTGTATACCCATACATTGATACATTATGAATACGAAAATTTAAACATGTATTTCTTGATTTTAATATGAAAATTTCCTGGGTTAAATACACATTCACTGTATTTACTTACTTGTGTTATTCGAAGCATTACACAATTACACGCAATCGAATACATGAAACTCAAAACAACTGCTTCACAAAGCTTTTGGTGAACAAAATGGAACACCAAGAAAAGCACTTCAACTTTACTGCTTTGTTAGCAATCGTGATAGTATTATTGAAAAAGTGTTGCCAGCTGTAAGTATTGCAACGAATTGAAGTTTATTAAAACAAGTAAGTGCGAAGTTTGACTCATGAAAAAAGATGAGTGGATGTATTTAAATTCACCATTACCATCAGAAACTGAATAAATAAAACAAAAACGACTGTTTTAGGCATTTTACCGGTCTAATTAAAAATGTCCCAGAAGATTGAATTAAATTCTATCAGGAAAGATGGCAGCAGCGCACGTAACCTGTCTTTCGCTTTCCCTCCCATGGCGTTTAGCTCCAACTCGCATCAACTTTTAATACTGACCCCGATTGAAGGATCTACCAAATGTTTGTTAAGGATCGTATTGATTAACAACGACGTCGACACCATAACAGGCTGACATTTGTGATCAGGATTTAATCCAAGGATAATTCCGGTTGGATCTTACCACCATCAAGGGTGAAAACACAGTTTCCCACAGCGTGGTGCCATGTGAATTTTTTGTCTACAATATCCTTATGCACTAGGTAGTGTGACGTCACATTTTCTGTATTGAAATGAAGGAGGAAAAGAGATGGTTAAACTTTCCTCACTATATCAGTTGATATTTATGAAACATGGACAATTTTCGCGTGGTGACATGCACTGGACTGAATTTTACCGTTACATATAGAATTTTTCAAAAAGAGAAGTAAACAAATTATTTACCCTTTGTGGAACCTTCATTCCCTCCAGCAACCAAAAGGGTATGAATATGTAGCTTTAGAACGCCACCACGTGGAACAGAGTGATATGAGACAGTCGCACAAATCAGCCAAACGAAGAAAAAAAAATTTCGACGCGAACATGGATAAATTAATTTGAAAGAAAAACCATCAGCATCGAGAACATGATCAAGCTCACGCATGATGCTTTTTGTTTGCTCTATTTGATGTTACTATCGATATCGTTGGTTTAGTGGGAAATATTTTGCGAATATTATCAATCATTTAGAACGAACACAATTCTTCGGCGTATCACATAGAACAATGCAAGATTTGAAAAATCATTCTTTATACACGCAGAAAAAAATATTTTAAACGTAATAATATTTTGTGTAATATCAATATGAATTTTGTTTTGGCTGCAACAAGAAATCATCATTGTTTCAACAATCCAGTATTTTTATTCCTCAAAGCCCATGGATTGTTAACTAAAAAAAAATCTTTTCGAGATAACAAGAGCTTTTATGGTTTTGACGTAAGCTGGGTCAACAACACAATGTGTTTGTTTTTAAAAGAGATTTCTTGTTGATTCAATCATATTTATTTTATGAAGCCTGACAATGCAAGCAGTAAAAATAAAAATATGTTTATTGATTCGATTATTTTTATGTTTTGTTTTCTTTTTGTAACAAACGGATTTGCAATTGAATTTAGAAAACCTTTCTTTCAAATCCGTTTTTTAAACAAAGTTACTGAGTAAAACCAACAATCAATACGAAACTAACGATTTTAAATTGGCTCACCACTTTAGTAGCCTATTGGTCCCAAGCAAACGATTAACGTACCCTATTCTAGTTGAAATTCTATTACTACACTATGTTTGTTTTGATTCGCTATGAAAGTTTGACAGATAACATCAGGGGTGTGTGGATTCCTGCAGAACATGCAGGGGTGAGTGAAATAGCTTGGGACTGCTTGGGACCGTTGTTCTGGTACTGAGTGAGCCAAAAATAATAATGATTTTCTTCGGGACC